TTAGTATACCTCCGTCTGTTCTACTACACAATTTTGGGCAACATTTGGCGTTCATACCCAAGTACCTTTCTGCTCTTCCGTTTCTCTTTTTTTCTTCACAATCTTGCTCTGAGGGCACAGATATGGAACTTCTGACGTCTGGAACAAACTTGACGTAAGCGTCTCCCCAAGGTCATGGTTTACTGCGAGCGCTCTACGAGCCTACATTATAACAACTATAAACTTAATAAGTTGGGAAGCATGCTGTGCGCCAACAACTGTTGTAAGTTATAGATCATGCCTGTAAAAATGGCGTGCACCTGCTCATGCAGCAATATATTATTATTATCATTCTACCTGCGTTAAAGAATTCGGAGTGATGTAGTCATTGATATCTGTTAGTTAACACTGGAGCCTTATTCCTTGTTGCTTATTCGTCTACTTCGGTTGACTTCTCAGTGTTCTGACTCGCCAAACGGTAAATGTCCCCGTCGTAGTTGAAACTACAGAAGTAGAAGCGTGCTGATTATACGTTATGGTGTTACCGATGATTACAATTGTCATAATTCCTCTCTCAATACCGGGAAACGTCTTCAACAGGGTATTGTTAAACAGGATGAAGGACTGCGTAGATGTCCAACTTCGTGACCAACAGGCAGGATTCCGTAAGGCTAGATCGTGTACAGACCGAATCGCAACTCTACGGATCATTGTGGAACAATCAATTGAATGGAATTCATCACTCTACATCAACTTCATTGACTATGAAAAGGCATTTGATAGCGTAGACAGAACAACACTATGGAAACTTCTTAGACACTACGGCGTGCCTCAGAAGATAGTCACTATCATACAGAATTTATATGATGGATTACACTGCAAAATCGTGCATGGAGGACAGTTGACAAAGTCGTTCGAAGTGAAGACCAGTGTCAGGCAAGGTTGCTTACTCTCACCCTTTCTCTTTATCCTGGTGATCGACTGGATCATGAAGACGTCAACATCTGAAGGGAAGCACGGGATACAATGGACATCTAGGATGCAGTTGGACGATCTAGACTTCGCAGATGATCTGGCCCTTCTATCCCAAGCGCCACAGCAAATGCAGGAGAAGTCGAAATGTGTGGCAGCAGCCTCAGCAGCAGTAGTTCTCAATATACACAAAGGGAAAAGCAAGATTCTCCGATACAACACAGCATGCACCAATCCAATAACAATTGACGGAGAAGATTTGGAAGATGTAAAAACCTTTACAGATTTGGGCAGCATCATTGATGAACAGGGTGGATCTGATGCCGATGTGAAGGCGCGGATCGGCAAAGCAAGAGCAGCATATCTATAACTGAAGGACATCTGGAACTCAAAACAACTGTCAACCAACACCAAGGTCAGAATTTTCAATACAAATGTCAAGACTGTTGTGCTGTATGAGGCGGAAACCTGGAGAACTACGGAATCCATCATCCAGAAAATACAGGTGTTTATTAACAATTGTCTACCCAAAATACTTCAGATCCATTGGCCGGACATTATTAGCAACAACGTACTGTGGGAGAGAACAAACCAGATCCCAGCGGAGGAAGAAATCAGGAAGAAGCGCTGGAAGTGGATAGGACACAAATTGAAGAAAGCACCCAACTGCGTCACCAGACAAGCCCTCACATGGAATCCTCAAGGCTAAAGGAAAAGAGGGAGACCAAAGAACACATTACGTCGGGAAATGGAGATAGACATGAGAAAAATGAATCAGAATTGGATGGAACTAGAAAAGAAGGCTGTTATGACTTTAAATTGATGTCGATTTCTACCCTGTGTTATCGATCGATTACAATGACACGCAAACACGTACGGACGGCCTAGAGTCTCGATTGGTCCTGCTTCCCTGTCCAGCTCAGCCAGTTGAGTCCAGAAGACAAGTCACAACCTCTGAGATATGAATCACTATATTTCAAACATACTTTGTTTATATACCAGTCAAGCATACCACAGCGTACCATAAAAATAGAAACAACATTTTGTACAAGTGAACAGATATCGACCAATAGGAAATTCCATTTAAAGTCCAAGGACACCATTGGACTTAACATGATAATTATTGGTTTATTCCTGCGCATCTACAACAAAGGCCCAGGACAGTATGGGTTGGAGAATGCTGGTCGGTGACCTATGTTCCATTGGGAGTAACAGGCGTAAGTAAATAAGTAATTCTGTAGACCTTTTAGTGACTGCTTCATCTTAGACAATCGTTATTTCGCTCAAATAGGTGTGGATCACGATTGTTAACAACAATTTAGTGTACTGCGTTATTGTTCGTCTGTTTTAGTATCACAAACGTGTATAAACGTATACAGATAGGTATTTCAAGGCTAAGTTTGATTGCGAGTGAACTAACCACAACTACCATTATGTTTTGACATCTAACGACTGTCGTAAGCTAGTGAAGTGGTAGTGGTAGTTGAGTAACACTGAGTGTTGAATGATGTATGAAAAATTGTTAAGGTTATTAAAGGTCAACGCGGACACATCGTTCCTCGTGTTGTGCAATAAAGTGTGCGGCAACCATCTTAAAGTCCTCGGACCCACTATGCGAGGATAACTAAACAGTCCGACAGTACGAGTTAAACCCGGAGTTACGCCTAAAATACATAAACTATGCAGAATACCTAATCAGTTCATTATTCAAGTGATACCGTTCAGTCAGTACTCAGAAGTATCGGTGAATTCTAAACCATAAAATATCAAGTAAATAAAACGTCAAAAACCTCAAAACTAATTACTAGGAAGAAATTACGCTCTTGGCAAACCAAGAATGCAGTTCTGTCGTCAAACGATAAAACAGCTCAATCAACTTGAGCTGAAGCAAACAGGCGGCAGCCATTAGTTTTTATCGTGGAATACAGAAAATCAAGTCAGTCACTGAAAATCATACCATGGGAATGACACATGAAGAAAACCAAAACTGGATGAAAAGGCGAATGTTAACATTCCCCTGTTGAACCAAAAATAGACAATATTAATGAGTGAAAAAATCGAGAACCGAATAGTATTGCATAAATCTTGTAGCCTTCAAGAGCTAAACTGTCTTATACACATAATCCTCATAAGTTTCTGCAAATTATTGCGGCGGAAAGTAGTTCCACAAAGCTGACAGCTTCAAAAGCATTTATCATCGACGCCAATCATTCTATTTTTGACGGATACAGTATTGGCTGAAGGCCCTCGGTCAGGTATCCACGCAAGAGCACGTTTCAACCCGTCGTTGAACACATCACTTCCGACGTCTAGCTTGCTTAGAAACTGAACGCAGAGATGAAACTGACTATATCTCACTATTTACTTAAACATAAATGTTGGTCGGAGGAGCACGGAGGTAGGCACGAGCATAATAACCAGAAATTTAGATTACGTGGAGATAGATGAAATAGGGATGTTAAGTAGAATTTTCACTGACTTCCTTAACTGCCCTAATAACATCTGGATAGAAAAGACTAAGAACTCGGTACAGCAAAGTCCTGGAGCGTCCGCATCGTTTTAATTATTTCACAAGGTTGCTCATCGAATTCTTTGTCTGAATCTAAAATCAATGAGAGTCGGTAGGCGCTTGAAGAAGTGTCTATGGTACTGCTTTATGTAGACATTACGAGGTGTTCCCTTTCCTCCACGTCTTTAAATAAAAACGCTCATTAGGTTACTGAAAGGTTTTATCATTGTAGCACTATTCTTAGTGTTCATCAACGAACTACTAAGTTACCTTAAGTCTTAAATTCCCTCATATGCTGACGATATTAAGATGGAACAGAGGATACAGTAACATGGATTTATAACAGTAGGTAAATAGAATAGAATGGTGATCTTACATTAGGGATAAAACAAGGTGTGGGTGTCACACAAAATGCACACAAGAGGTCTTCGATACACATGCTTATATACATACATAAGGGATGTTATAGTCAGGCCTTCTGAAATTTCGGGACGTTTAGCCATATTGGTTTTCTTATCAACACCAATCACAAGTTTACTTTTAATATAATCGAGATCCCTCGAGTGAAGAATTTTTTAATGAGTTCGATATTGTCTGGACTGGCTCGGAGATTAATAAAGCGAGTAAAAGTGTTTCAGATATTTGTAATTTAGCCTTGAGTTGTGTAAGGCCTTTCAGAGACAGGGTAAACAACAGTGTTGGAACTTCTGTTGATCTCTGGGATTGGATCGATAAATGAAGCTAGTTTGTCGACAACTTTGAGTTAAAAATAAACAAGAAGCCCTTGTACCTGATGTGAATTAAAAGTTATTTGGACAGATGTTAGCAGAATGTCCGTTGGCCAAAAACTTCTCTCATCGATGACAAATTTTCTGTTACCAAAGCCATTTTAAATTCGATATCACAGAAAATTCATCTAACCGTTGTCCATGGGTAAAGTCCGATATTTCTGAAACTATTTAATAATTAATTCACAGGATTTGGACACCGTTACCAGACATGTTAGTAAAAATTCTACTTAACATCCCTATTTCATCTATCTCCACGTAATCTAAATTTCTGGTTATTATGCTCGTGCCTACCTCCGTGCTCCTCCGACCAACATTTATGTTTAAGTAAATAGTGAGATATAGTCAGTTTCATCTCTGCGTACAGTTTCTAAGCAAGCTAGACGTCGGAAGTGATGTGTTCAACGACGGGTTGAAACGTGCTCTTGCGTGGATACCTGACCGAGGGCCTTCAGCCAATACTGTATCCGTCAAAAATAGAATGATTGGCGTCGATGATAAATGCTTTTGAAGCTGTCAGCTTTGTGGAACTACTTTCCGCCGCAATAATTTGCAGAAACTTATGAGGATTATGTGTATAAGACATTTTAGCTCTTAAAAATGGCAAGATCTAGGTATCAAAATGCGGATTTGTGTGCTATAAAAGCTGAAATAAAGCTTAATTACTTAGTTCCTGAAGATATTCTTAAAATTTTAACAGTATACACTATGGTGGGCTTTCTCACATGGCGGCAAGTTGACGCGCGCATTTCATTCAAGGTTGAGATAAAGGTTGGGAACTTTGGTAAGTCTCTGTACCTATTTTATTTATCAAGAGTTACGGAATGATCTCGGTAATATACAGTATGGCATCGTCTTAGCTGTGCCATTATTGACATCAGAATAGTATCAACAATGTAATTTTGTCCGGCATCTCTGGAGCATCACCCGCGCATTAATAGCAGATTAGATCTGATTAGTACCATTGAAGTCCATTTTAGTATAGAAGGATTGTTGATTTCACATTTGCTTCGATCACCTTTCAGTTTCCATCGAGTCTTGAAGCAATGTAATCTAGCAGTTCTTTGAGACTAGATGATCTTAGCTTTTTTTTCAACCTAATAAAGAAAACATCTCATGTTCTCTATCAAAGCTTCCAAGTTAGAAAGATTTCTGGCTATATGTATCTTGTAGTTTTTTCTCTATGCCAAGTTCAGAAAGTGTGAATTCCAACACATTTTGACTAATCAGATTTCAGCAAGTCGATTTGAATAGGTAAATCGTCAAGTGATTTTCATACCTCCAACCAGCCTTCAATCATATTACTATCAAGCAACTAATATTTTCATTATTCAGTTTCAGAAGGATTTTGTTCCTAGTTGAATCACTGTAATTTGTGTGTTGAGAAACATACCGACAAAAGCTACTCAGGATCTATCATGAATATGGATTATTCTTAGTTACGACAACATTATATCTAGCCACTAGTCATATGGGTTGATTTACTCAAGATAATACTCTTGTATTTGACTCGGCATTTGTTTTTAAAGTACCTTTAAACCACTGAGTGCTTGTACTCAGTATGTTGGGATTGTACATCTTGTTTCTTAACGGTAATATTCGATAGTTTCATTTTAAGGTTATTACATAGACTTACAAGCAACTGATGTTCGTTACCCATAATTTCTTGGACCTGATCCTCTGTGAACGATTTTTCCTTGTTCTGCACAAGGCATATCAGCAGCTCTGGTTGTTATTCGTGATAAGCAGTGTTTGTGGTGTATAGCTACTTAGTAAACGGGAAAGTAACTTATTATTAATACATGACTAATTAATCCCTGGTTAGATTTCACTTTCCTAATTATTTGTATTACTACGTATCTTCATTCACTAAGTTACCAGTTACGCAGACTTGTTGAAGTTGTGGGTTAGTAAAATGTATTACAACTTCAGAAAAATCAACTCGCTGAAGTTTGTTTCAGTATATACACTGTGCTACGTTGTTTCCAACTTTATCCCTGTAGGAAACTTTTGACTTTGGGCATCTGATATCGGTGTTATCAAAACAGTGAACTATAAATTTCTGTTGAAATTATAAAAACTGACTGATTCATCACATTGTATGTAAAATGGGATAACTTTCCCACAATAGACCCATGAAGAGCAGACGTTCAGAAAATATGGGTCTAAGACTTGCTTGTTTTGATTAATTGTCAACCCTACACCAATTGATGGAACACAGATACCGTAAAAAAGTATTTAGAATAAATTTTCCTACCAAAATTGAAATTTTTGTTCCAGTATTGGTGTACATCAATATTCAATATGACTACATAGAGTAGTCCTACGAGACTTAAATCATATGGCCTTAGGTACAAACCTCGCCCCACTGAATTCAAGTTAATCAGACGGTTAGTATCACTAACCTTCACAGGAACTCACCTTCTCTTGGGTGAAAATCAACTTGTTGAATGACTTACGTTGAATTACTATTTAGCTAAGCTCATCAACCACTTTAATCATCCAGAGTCACGGTTGGATAGTTCAACAAAATCTTGACATGGTTAAAAATACTCATTCGGATTTCGCCAACCCATGTCTATCGTCACCCAAACAAATTATCCGTCTACTTATCAACTAAAGAGTATGCTGCGTGGCAGTGCACCAAGTATTTATAGCTATAAAACATGGTTTAAGGAGATATATAACTTCGATATATCCCTAGTATTGTATTACAGTTACCTTCGAATCATTTCTCATGTATGGTGAAGCCATCAAGTCACTAGCGTAAAGCTACGAATATAGTAACCTATGGTTCAAATGAGGCTGTGGATAGCTATGCCAGGAGAAGGTCAATTTGTGAAGCCGTCGAATGTTGGTCTGGGTTCTGTCGAGACACATCTTGCTTTATTTGGGTATTCTAGATAGTCGTAATCTGATGCTAACGAGTTTGGATGATGTGGCTCAAAGTTGATTAGGCTATGACGAATTTATATATGCTAACTATTGAGCTTAGTATTATTCCATACTTTTCATAAGTTCCTTTTTACTCTCCAATCTTAGTTTCTACTATTTGATAACTTTACTGAAACTCCTTAGTCTTTCACCTTGTCAATTCTATCTTGTTATTCTGTCAGCTTGGAGTGATGCACATTTATTTCGTCCTATGTTGTTTACGACCGACGGGCCTTTTTGCAGTATGCCAGACAAAACCAATTCATAACATCTTTGTAGCAACGAAACGTTTTGCTCTTTATTTACATTAGATTATCTTGTTTTTCTTATGATTTGTTCAACTGGAATCAGTCCTGTTTATCGTCTTTAGAACAGATTACACAATCTTGAGGTGAAACTTTCCCTCTGTGTTAATATAAACAGGAACTACGTAAGACATTTTTGACGTTCCATTTTTATGAGCTGAATGGTTCGACGTATAGCAGCACGCTGAAAACAACCCTAAATCTAAGTCCTTAACTCAAATGAATCCTAATCCTGTATTGCTCTGATTGTCAGACATTATTCCAGACTCGACTAATGACCATCTCAAAGGAATTCTCTGCTTCACTTTAATACTTTATTACATATTTTGAGTTGGACTGTTACACAGCTCACAAGTTGTACTTATCCATTAGTTATTGTTGATTTATCAGCCAGTTTTAGGTGTATAGGAAACAAACCCAAGAATCTCTATAAAATGATGTCCCTGAGTGTTGATCATATATCATCTTGCTACCTTCAATTTTGGTTGTCAGCAGATGAGATGACTCGTGTTTAGCGAAGCCAGTGGTTGTACTTTCCTTAGAAAGTGGTAAGAGATGACAATAGGTCAGAGGCAAAGTTCCGGTGATTCTCACTTTGCAATAACATTTCGTGAACATTAGTATGTGGATTTGGTCCTGTCTCGAAGGTTGCACTAATATTCTAGCTTATAAATATTACTATAAACCCAATTTGGTGATGATAGGTTTGTAAATTCACCACTAAAATCCTGTAAAAATAGTTCATGTTGCCTTACGTTGAAAATCTTTTTTCGTGTTATTGTTTGTTCTCACAGAGATGGAGATCCAGGCAATCCACCAAAATTTACACTGGGAACCTAATAACCTACAGAATGCCAATTATACTTCGGATGAGGATGAATTCGAAAGTGGAAACAGTACAGCAAAACTGTACGAACGATCGCGTATTAAAGCACTTGCAGGTTAGTTTTTGTGATAGTTTAATTCCAAGTATCATTATAGACGAACGTGAGGTTGTTCAGAAAAAGACATTCACAAAATGGGTAAACTCCCACCTTTCGGTTGTGTCTTGCAACATCGAAGATCTATACCTAGATCTAAGGGACGGGAAAATGCTCCTAAAACTCTTAGAGATATTATCTGGTGAACGTCTTCCTCGACCCACAAGGGGAAAAATGCGAATCCATTGTTTAGAGAATGTTGACAAGTCCTTAAATTTCCTGTGTGATCAGCATGTTCACCTAGAAAATGTGGGTGCTCACGATATCGTAGACGGAAATTCACGACTAACACTTGGACTTATTTGGACAATTATTTTGCGTTTCCAAATCCAAGATATAATTGTTGAAGAATATCAGACAAGTGAAACCCGATGCGCTAAAGACGCTTTGTTATTGTGGTGCCAAATGAAAACTGCAGGTTATCCCAATGTGAATGTTCGGAACTTTACGACAAGTTGGCGTGATGGTTTAGCTTTTAATGCTTTAATTCATAAACACCGACCTGATCTAATTGAATACTCCAAACTGTCTAAATCAGAACCAATTAAAAACCTGACTACTGCCTTCAGTGTTGCCGAAGAAAAATTAAATCTTCATCCTCTTTTAGAACCATCTGACGTGGCTGTTGAACAACCAGATGAAAAGTCTATTATTACCTATGTTGTTACATATTACCACTACTTTAACAAAATGAAAGCTGATACTGTACATTCGAAAAGGATTGGTAAGGTCGTCAACCAGGCCATTGAAACTGATGACATGATCAATCAATATGAACAATTAACTTCTGATCTTCTTGACTGGATAAAGAAAACCATAAAACTTTTAGACGACCGTACATTCGCCAATTCACTTTCGGGTGTTCAACACCAGTTAGCTGGCTTCAACACTTACCGAACCGTCGAAAAACCTCCCAAGTTCAGAGAAAAAGGGGGTCTTGAAGTTTTACTTTTCACTATTCGCAGTAAAATGCGTGCCAACAATCAAAGACAATATAATCCACCCGAAGGAAAGATGATAGCAGATATAAATCGTGCCTGGGAAATGCTTGAAAGAGCTGAACATGCACGGGAATTAGCTGTACGAGATGAACTTATACGTCAGGAGAAGTTGGAACAACTTGCCTCTCGTTTCGACCGTAAAGCTGGAATGCGAGAAACTTGGCTTACAGATAATCAACGACTTGTTTTACAAGAGTTCTTTGGTGATAACCTTGCTGCTGTTGAAGCTGCAACAAAGAAGCATGAGGCCATAGAAACAGATATATATGCATATGAAGAGCGTGTAAATGCTATGGTCAATGTTGCAGAGGAGCTGAAGAGAGAAAATTATCATGCTCATGAAAATATCCAGTTGCGGAGGGATAAAGTACTTGCTATGTGGCGTAATCTATTGGACTCACTTAGCATTAGACGCCAGCATCTAGAACTAAGTTTACAGTTACAACATATCTTCCAAGAAATGACCTATTTGATGGATTGGATCGAAGAAATAAAGAGCCGTCTTAAGTCGCAGGATTATGGTAAACATTTGATGGGTGTTGAGGACCTCTTGCAAAAGCATAATTTATTGGAAGCTGACATTCGTGTCCTCGGCGGTAGAATGAATCAGGTTGTTGACCAGGCCACCCCATTTATTGTTGGGTCATTTACGCCGGATATGGGTGCATACAAACCAATTGAACCCGAAATAGTTCAGGAGCGTACTGAAAAATTACGTGCGGCGTATGATGATTTACATGACTTGGCGGAGGCTCGTCTTCGTGGTCTACGGGATTCACGGGAAATGTGGCAATTTTTCTGGGATATGGAGGATGAAAAGGAATGGATCAAAGAAAAAAGCCAGCTTATGTCCAGTCCAGACTTGGGTCATGATCTAAGTTCAGTAAGTCGACTTTTACGTAAACATAAAGCTCTTGAAGAAGAGTGTCAAATGCATCGAGCTGTTTTAGAAGATGCATTGAAGCATGGTGAACAACTTATTACTGATGGAAATCAAGGTGGTGAGCAAATATCCCAGCGTATCGTTGAAATGAATCAATTATGGGGTCAATTAGTTGACTTGATAACAGAGCGTAAACAACGCCTAATTGAGTCACAGGATTTCTTCCAATTAATGGCAGACTGTGATGATGCAGATGTATGGTTGACTGACCAACAACGCATTGTTAGCAACGAAGATGTAGGTCTTAAACAAGCCACAACAGTGTCTTTACTGAAAAACAACCAGGAAGTTATGGATAATCTTCAAAACTACCAAGAAACAATATCTCAACTAAATCAAGATGCATCACGAGTTTCTGATTATCCAGACAGTGATGCCACAGCTATAGCACATCGTTTAGATGCGGTCGATCAACATTATGCTTTAGTAAAAGAATTATGTAGATTACGGCATAAACGTTTAAATGATGCTCTTTCGATGTATAAACTATTTGATGACTCAGATACCGTACGTACATGGATAACTGAAAAAGAAAAACTTTTAACGACGTTAGTTCCAAGTGACGAAATTGAAGAATTGGAGGTTATTCGACATCGGTTCGAATGTTTCGAAAAAGAAATGGCTGGAAACGCCAAAAAGGTTGGTAGTGTAAATCTACTTTCAGAAGAAATGTTAGATAAAGCTCATCCAGACGCTGAAAAGATATTAAGACATCAAGATGAACTCAACGCATCATGGAATGAGTTAGCCGACCTTGTTGACAAACAAAAAAGACAATTAGATTTATCTTACCAGTATAATCAATTTTTAATCGAAAGTTCAGAAACAGCGAATTGGATAAAAGATAAAGCAAAGTTAATCGAATCAACCGATGAGCTAGATAATAACTTGGAGGGTATTATGCAGCTTCAGCGTAGACTTGGTGGATTACAACGCGATTTAAATGCTATTGAGGCTAAGGTTAAGCACTTGGATGAACAAGCCCAAGAACTTACTGAAGCAAAACCAGAAACTCAAGCTGTAAGTTATAGATTACGTAATATGCTGATTTCTTTAGGTTGTTATAGCTGAAAAAGAGAAGATTCATGACTTATGGAATGAACTGAAAGAGATCGTAAAAGAAAGAGATGATCGACTTAATGATTCAAGCGAATTGCAACGTTTCTTACAAGATTTAGATCATTTCCAAATCTGGCTTCGTCGCACACAAATCACTGTAGCTTCTGAAGAGGTTCCAAATAATTTAGAGGTTAGTTAAGGTGTCTTATTTCTAACTTGACATTTTTAGGAGGCGGAGACCCTTTTAGACCAACATGAACAATTAAAAGCTGAAATCGATGGATATGAAAATGACTTTCATCGGCTTATGGATTTCGGCAGACGTGTGACTGAAGTTCAGACAGATGCCCAATACATGTTTTTGGCCCAGAGGTTAGACGGTATCGAAGAAAATTGGGAAGCTTTACGAAGAATGTACGAAAACCGCACCGCAGCATTACAAGAAGGTGTCGAAGCCCAAGTAAGCTCAAGTCATGTTATGTTCTAATTACATTAGACATTCTTTAGAGATGCTTTACAGGCGGAGGTCCTTCTAGCAAAAATGGAGAAGGTTGTTTCCAAGGAAGAAGCTCCTGTAAGTTAATCTATATTTCCCATGTCTGTCTACTTTTCTCAATTCTTTACAATATATTTTCCGATCCATTCTCAGAGCTGTGCATTTGTAACTGCATTTCGAAATTCCCAAAAGAATAACCACAAATACACATGCAAAGTATTATCTCAATCCAGTTAATAATAATAGCTCATTTGCTACATATTCTAGCCCATTGGAATAAATAAAGTAATAAAATAGAACTAGAAAAAACGTCTCACAAAGTTTAGTTGTTTATTTCGGATTGTGCACTCACATCATCATTACAATAATGTTTACGCAGAATATTCTAAGCTTTTCTTTTCAATGATTTAGTCTTATCCACCATTACTTACTTACGCCTGTTACTCCCAATGGAACATAGGTCACCGACCAGCATTCTCCAACCCATACTGTCCTGAGCCTTCTTTTCTAGTTCCATCCAATTCTCTTCCATTTTTCTCATGTCTATTTCCATTTCCCGACGTAATGTATTCCTTGGTCTTCCTCTTTCCCTTTGGCCTTGAGGATTCCATGTGAGGGCTTGTCTTGTGACACAGTTGAGTGCGTTTCTCAATGTGTGTCCTATCCACTTCCAACGCTTCTTCCTGATTTCTTCCTCCACTGGGATCTGGTTTGTTCTCTCCCACAGTACGTTGTTGCTAATAATGTCCGGCCAATGGATCTGAAGTATTTTGGGTAGACAATTGTTAATAAACACCTGTATTTTCTGGATGATGGATTCCGTAGTTCTCCAGGTTTCCGCCTCATACAGCACAACAGTCTTGACATTTGTATTGAAAATTCTGACCTTGGTGTTGGTTGACAGTTGTTTTGAGTTCCAGATGTCCTTCAGTTGTAAATATGCTGCTCTTGCTTTGCCGATCCGCGCCCTCACATCGGCATCAGATCCACCCTGTTCATCAATGATGCTGCCCAAATCTGTAAAGGTTTTTACATCTTCCAAATCTTCTCCGTCAATTGTTATTGGATTGGTGCATGCTGTGTTGTATCGGAGAATCTTGCTTTTCCCTTTGTGTATATTGAGAACTACTGCTGCTGAGGCTGCTGCCACACATTTCGACTTCTCCTGCATTTGCTGTGGCGCTTGGGATAGAAGGGCCAGATCATCTGCGAAGTCTAGATCGTCCAACTGCATCCTAGATGTCCATTGTATCCCGTGCTTCCCTTCAGATGTTGACGTCTTCATGATCCAGTCGATCACCAGGATAAAGAGAAAGGGTGAGAGTAAGCAACCTTGCCTGACACTGGTCTTCACTTCGAACGACTTTGTCAACTGTCCTCCATGCACGATTTTGCAGTGTAATCCATCATATAAATTCTGTATGATAGTGACTATCTTCTGAGGCACGCCGTAGTGTCTAAGAAGTTTCCATAGTGTTGTTCTGTCTACGCTATCAAATGCCTTTTCATAGTCAATGAAGTTGATGTAGAGTGATGAATTCCATTCAATTGATTGTTCCACAATGATCCGTAGAGTTGCGATTCGGTCTGTACACGATCTAGCCTTACGGAATCCTGCCTGTTGGTCACGAAGTTGGACATCTACGCAGTCCTTCATCCTGTTTAACAATACCCTGTTGAAGACGTTTCCCGGTATTGAGAGAAGAGTGATGCCCGTGTAGTTATCACACTTTCTGAGATCGCCTTTCTGTGTTATTTTGATCAGAAGTCTTTCTTTCCAGTCTGTTGGTACTTGTTCCTCATCCCAAATACTATTGAAGAGAATGTGGAGTATCCTTGCAGTTGCCGCTACGTCTGCTTTCAGTGCCTCTGCTGGAATGTTGTCTGGTCCTGTTGCTTTGCCACTCTCGATTTGTCTGATGGCCATGCTGATTTCTTCAATTGTTGGTGAGCCAACATTGATTGGGAGGTCCGTGGGTGCTGCTTCTATATTGGGTGGGTTCAGTGGAGCTGGTCGATTTAAGAGTTGTTTGAAGTGTTCTACCCACCTGTTTTGTTGCTCTTCAATGTTGGTGATTACCTCACCTTCCTTGCTTTTCGCTGGTCGTTCTGGTTTGCGGCGATTTCCAGAGAGTTTCTTTGTCGTGTCATACAGTTGTCTCATGTTTCCTTCTTTTGCAGCCTTTTCCGCCGTCGTTGCTAAATCTTCCACATATTTACGTTTGTCGGTTCTGATGCTCCTCTTCACTTGTTTGTTTACTTCTGTGTATTCAACTTGTGCCTTGGCTTTTTCTGCTCTTGTTCGACTGGTATTGATTGCTGCCTTCTTGTTCCTCCTTTCTTGAATCTTATCCAGTGTATCCATTCCTTGTGATGGTGCTTCTTGTGACCCAGGACCTCATGACATGTTGAAGTGATTGCCTCTTTGATCCCCTTCCAGTTGCTGTCCACAGTAGTTCGTTCTCCATTGAGTAGATCATGAAATGCCTGGAACTTATTGCTGAGGACTATCTTGAATTTGTTGCGTTTGTTAGTATCCTGAAGAAAGGCCGTATTGAACTTTTGTGATGTTGTCCGCCCCGTTGTCCAGTGTTTCTTGGGTTTTAACTTCATCTTGGCGACCATCAACTGATGACCCGATGCTATATCAGCTCCTCTCTTGGTTCTCACGTCCTCTATAGTCCTCCTGAACGTTTTGTTGATGCAAATATGGTCGATTTGGTTTTGCGTGGTGTGATCCGGTGAAGTCCATGTGGTTTTGTGTATGCGTTTATGTGGGAATATGGTGCCGCCTATGACCAGTTTATTGAAGGCATATAGGTTTGCAAATCTCTCACCATTTTCGTTCCTTTCTCCCCACCATATAATGCGGTAATTTCTCTGGCACCTGGCTGTTGTTATACTATTTATTTATAACTTCATCTCAAATAAGAGTGATTGAGAGTTCTATCTAAATAACCGTTTGTTTTCACTTGACTAGATCAATTTGGAGATGGCACAAGAAAATCTTCGTAATTTTGAAACCTTCCGAACGTCATTGGTGCCAACCGATGAAAAGATTGACAATGTGTTGAATGATGGTGCGAAATTGGTTGGTCGTGGAATTTTCCCTACTGAAAAGATTCAAAATAAATGTGAACAACTCAAACAGCGGTAAGTTTATACCTCTAGACCCATATCTATAAAGTATTCTTATCGGATTTTCGTGTGACATACTATTTTTATCCTGTTCGATTATTTCTATTTAGACGAGACTCTCTAAAGAGGCGAGCAGATGAACATGGTCAAAAACTCAAAGAACAGTTACATCTACAAGAATTTTGTCAGGACGTTGACGATGTAAGTCATAATATATTTTAACAAGTGTATTCAACATTTTTAGGCTGAAGAATGGCTTGCTGAGAAAGCTATGGCTATTACAGAGCAACCGGCACCTATTGCTCGAAGCATTGCTGCATTATATGGACGATTTAAGGCGTTTGAAGGCGAACTTGATGCCAACAAGGAGAAAATTGCCAAAGTTATTGAAGTATGTCTTTTATATTTTAATTACTCATAGATATTTTTCGTAAATCAAATAGCACACAATAGCTCATGTTTCTAGTTTTCGGAAAAACTATTATTAATTGAAACTTAAATATCTAATGAGTTGTGGTTGTTCGATTGGGTCACAATCATATTACCGAGTTATCTGAACGTGTTCTAACTGCACACACGCTCTATATTTGTATATAGAAATAAAACTACAAGGTTTATTTACAGTGAAATTGTTGACCTTATCAGCTATAAAATCAAAATTATCACTAAACATTTTCCTAACGTTATAAATATTGGGTTATTCTGTTCTAGGAGGGAGAAGAGCTTATTGTAGCCCATCCTATGCTTCAAGTCCAAGTCGAACCGAAAATATCTGCCTTACGTAAGCAGTGGGAAGACCTTAACACCACTACAGCTGATAAGAGCGCGAAAATGGCAGATGCTAACAGAGGTAAGTGATCACCTCGAGAGTAGTTAGCATTATTTTTGCTTTTATTATCATTATTCTACCGTAAATATTTTTTTAAATGGTTAAAACATTTTTATTTCTATAGAAACATTATTTGATGAAACTGCTAAGTCTATGCTTACATGGATTACTGAAGTTAGCTCACAAATAGTTACTACTACAGAAGAAGTTACTGAAGAAATCGGTCTCGTTGAAATCAATGAACATCTCAAAGATCAAGAACGCAAGGATCAAGAATTGGCTGCCAAACGCCGAATGCTTCAAGATATGGCGGCAAGTTACATTTTCTGTATTCCACAACGAATTTTATCTTTCTAATCCTTATATTTATTCATATCTGATTGATTAGAATTTTGTAATGAGAATTGGCTTCGTACTAATAGTATAGTGACTACATTCTCATTTATAATTATTGTCCATTCATTGTTCATCGCTAGTATAAAGTCAGTGTGGTTTTCATTAATTTAAACACTATCATTATTAACTTTTACTATATTGGTACAGTAACTATCAAAAATGGTTAGTCTGATAGGATAAATCTTTCTGTCTTTATACCACATTCCGATAACTGCTAAATAATTGTCACGTACATACTCCTCTCGTAAATATTCTACTGTAAGCATTTTTTTGTGCATGAAAACATATTTTTGACGAGTTTAAGTTTTTTGACCAACTATTCCAAATTTAATTGTCATGTAATACGAAACAGTTTATGTTAATCACGGGAACTACAAAGTAACCTAAAACTCGGAGCAGAAACACCTTCCTTCCCAATTCCCATACTTTGAAAAACGCAAAGAAACATTCACGAAGAAGTAGATATGTTGATCTTTGTAACGAAACCTTCATTTTTTAAATGACTAAAATAAATCTGTATTCCCAATGAATACTAGTAATAAAAACTACTGTAGGTGAATGATATGTTATTGAATGTTGCCGTAACAGTATAAATAAAATTAGTACCCATATACACGTATTTTTCTTGTACTATGAACAATCTTTGGATACACAATCGACAATGGGTGAAGTCCGAATCAGAAACCCAATCTATTCCAAACCTGAATTATTTATCTGTATATTTGACCCCGTTATTGGGAGTCAAGCGTTTGAACCATCAAGTATTAATATTCACATGGGAATTATCTAAATAACAATTTCAACTAAAATATATATCTCATATTTTAACATGTGGCTTACAATGATTTATATACTTTTGTATTTCATTTTTAGACTCATGCAGAAAAACTCAAAGAACAATATCCTGAACGTCGTGAAGAGTTTGAACAAGTTCACCAGGAAGTGCGTATTCGTCTTACTGAATTAGAAGCTCCTCTAGCTGATCGCCGTGATCGCCTTGTTAAACAAAAGAGAGTTCGTCAATTCTTACGAGATATTGAAGACGAGAAGGACTGGATTAAAGAAAAGTTGGCACTTATTGAAGACTCATGCAAGCTTGGAAGTTCATTACTTGCCACACAACAACTTATAAGACGTCATCGCATGCTGTCTAACGAAGTAGATAATCACCGTCCACGTATTGATGCTGTTTGTCACGTAAGATATTAATTTTCTTTATTAGTTGTTAATTGTTTTTATCTCTGGTACTTCAGTTCATTGATTATCGAGTTGATTACTATACTTGCATTGTATTCTATTATGCTGTGGAAACCCGATTAACTGGAACAACATAGAAGTAACCGTAATAGTATACAATTTTTATTTGTTACACACTAAGAAGATACAGTAAAAGAAGTTCGAAAAGCTACTTAACTAGAAGATTGAAGGGATAATCAAATGTATGTCGAACAATAAGCTATCAAAGATTTCAAATTAAAATAAAAACCAAGCAAACAACAACCATTACACTTTTCGTTGTTAGCTTATATTCAGTTATATTACCAGGTCCATAAATCTCGTTAGTTGGTCAATAGCATTCACATTTTCTGCATATTTATACTAAGCTTATGTCAACCAGAAGTTGCCAATGGTTATAATTGTTATTTGAGGATTCTAAACTGGCGATTAGGTTTTAAAAATTGGAAATACAAAAAAAACTGCATTATAAAGAATATCTGTGCTAACTTCTAAAAATAGATTAAGGGAAGTATCATTTGTCGTGTACGACCTTCTTAAAGAGGGTCTCAAGTAGTGAATTGCTATACAATTTAATTTTGATACGTTTTGTGTCCATCTCTAGTATTACAGCTTATATCATAATAAAGTCATGTATTAATTTCTAAGATCTATTCCTTGATAAAATGAACTTTTTATCGTTTCATAATTCTTAATTTATTTTCAATATCAATTGGTACTCGTTGAAAACTTGTTTCATACTAACCCTTCATGTAAATTCTATTTTATTTTTTACCATCAGGAAGGCGAACAAATGATACTTGAAGGTCATCCACGAAGCGATCGATTCCGTGAAGCCATAGATGAATTATGGGTGTTATGGGAACAATTACAACATGTAGTAGGAGAAAGACAAGAACAATTAACACGAAACGAAATTGCACAGCAGTATCTATTCGATGCAAGCGAAGCTGAAGCTTGGATGGGAGAGCAAGAACTTTACTTAATGGGTGATGAACGTGCAAAGGTAGGTTTTTTATTCCTCATTTACTTGTAGTTTTATGAGCACCAAATCCCCATTACTGTTATGTTTTTTGAAGTACTGTTTTTTATTTATTTAATCAGGTTATAATCTTTCAATTACCTCTTATCTTTTGATATTTTTACAGGATGAACAAGGCGCTAATAACGCAATTAAAAAGCATGAACAACTACAAAAAACTGTAGAGAACTATGCCACAGAAATCCGTGGATTAGGTGAACGATGCCAGGCTTTATTGGAAGCCAATCATCCTGAGTCTGAAGCTGTTGTCGCTAAACAGGCACGCATTGACAAGATGTATGCGGGTTTACGTGACCTATGTAGTGAACGCCGGGCAAGGCTTGATGAGATTCTGAAGTTGTATCATCTCTTACGAGATATTTTAGATCTTGAGGTGAGTTCTTTTTTCCTTCCTATCGTTCTTGACAATTCTGTCAATATACTTTATCTTTTGATAATCAGGTCTAATAAAATCATTACGCAGCTCCCTTCTATCGCAGTTAGTCGATAATAATCGTGTAGTAGATAAAACCAAGGTATTCAGAGTGATATACCACCAAGTTTTTTTAAATAGGACTTTATCTCGTTTCATACGTGTCACTGGAAGCTATGGGGATTCAATCTAACAACCTTAGTCTCTGTGTTCAATAGAAATGTGTAGCACTCTTGTCCTTCCGTCGGTCAAATAACACTTGATAAACAATCTTAACAATTATTCACATTCTCTATATTTCTTTATCCTTTCGTATTTCTTCTTCGTTACATACATTCATACACATTATGCGATTCCTATGTCATGTTCATGTAGTAACTTTTCGTTTCTTAACTACATAAATGTAACACTAAATCAATTTATGCTGTACAAGAAATACGATCAGTTCTAGTATAACAAAAACTGTTCAGTATATGTAAATTCTAAATATCCCTTACAAAATTTGCACCATTATTTATCCTGAAGAAATTTCAATATTTGTCGTCTTTATACTTCAATTTCATCATCAACAAAACTGAGCTAAAACAACTATTCTTTATTACATGGTTGTAATTGGACTACTTTTCAGCTTTTACCATGAATGATGCTTGTCTGGAAAATCGATCAGTTAATAATCTACGAAAATCTTATGTAGGTCACGTAACAGATTATATCTTATCAGGCGGATGAACTTGAACTCCTTTCAAGTATATGATTTCTCTGTTTTAACACCATTATGTTTACTTAGTCACATGGTATCGTGTTCTACTAATTTTATTTATTTTTCTCAATTAGTACGTTCCGTAATCGAACTGTTTTCACTAGTTGTCTGATATATTTGCCTCCATAAAGTTTTATATGTCGGTACTTAGATGACTGATTATTATTAACATTATTCTAGGCTTGGATTGCAGAACGTATCTTGGTAGCAAGTAGTCATGAAGTTGGTGCAGATTATGAACATTGTTGTTTACTTCGAGAACGTTTCGCCGAATTTTCTCGTGAAACAAATGAACTTGGAAAATATCGTATTAGTGCAGCGAATGAATTATGTAACGCTCTTATTGGTCAGGGTCACAGCGAAGCTGCTGAAATCGCCAGTTGGAAGGATCGAATTAATGAAGCGTGGGCTGATCTACTGGAGCTCATTGATACACGTATTCAACTTTTGAAAACTGCATGGGATCTACATAAATTTTTGGCAGATTGCCAAGTAAGATTGTGTTTTTCTAAAAATAGTTTACTCTCATTTACAACTCGTAGACAGTTATCGCCTAAATCACTTTTCTGATCCTACAAGCATTGTATACTTCTAGAAAAGTGGAATTTACTAAATACCCTGTTTTTTTTCTGACATTAGTAAATTATATTTTAAAAGATTTGATTTCTCTCATAAACTAATCACATAACTATACTTTATTCTTTCTTCACATTTGCAAAAAAAGAATGTATTGCTGTTAAATATGGTATAATCTTGTTTAAGTTGTCAACCATTTCATTTTTTAACAAGTCACATTGTAGCGTTTATTCTGGAATCTGATATGTTTTTCATTCATTTAGTATGAAGTTACTACTACGATGATTTACTTGCTGCTGATGAATTATTCATGTGGATCATATAGTCCATATTGGCGAGACTATAATTTATGGACTTAGGATAAGAGGTCTTGGATTTTGGCGCGAAATTCACTCACCCATTTGTCTAAATAGTGTTTTTCATTTTGGCTGATGTCAGTTCGTGATGAAGAACCCTAATCTAATTCTTAACCTTAACCATCAACTATAAATCATAATCCTTGCTCTTCACACAGGTTTATAACCACCCTCACTTAGCCCTAGTAAGTAGTTGGATATTTTCAAGGTCAGTTTGGAGTCTCAAAGGTCGTCCGTAAATTATAGTCCCACCGTCCAAATTTTACCTATTCAAATATCAGTCTGCAATAAAGACACTAAGCTTATGATCTCAACTTTATAACATGTTTATTAGTTAATCTAGAATTTACTTCTCTCACAGATATATGTACATTAATTAGAGGTTATAATTCAAGAGTTGGTCTACCGATTACAGATTTTCAGCATTCCATTGATGTATATGTTTCTATGGTTCATAATAGGTGTTAGTGAAATTTCGGCTGTAATTCTCTTTTACTCGACAAAAGTGAGAGAAACTTCCTAAACTGGAAGGATTCTTTCTGGTTGTATTTTTCCTAACTGAACTGCTTTTCCCACTTTTCGCTACTTCTACTCACTTATTTTAATTCATCTTTTTCTTCGTTTCATTATTCTCATCTTCCTTTATCTCTCCACAACCGTCTTGTGTGGTGAGTATCTATTTGGATTCCCCTTTGATCCAATATTTCTGTGTTAAAAGCCAAGTAAACTTCAAAGATGCTTACTGAATTTCCATAAATTATGATATTTTGGTTTCAGTTACGAACTAGCATTTATCCTCAGGATCTAAAAAATATACGCGTGTAATGTAATGCTTAATTTGAGAGTGCGAGATGTGTTTCTCTGGATAACTAGAGTTCTATAGCTCCACATAAATTTTGCTTAATCCAGTATTGGAGCTCAGTCAATAATAATCAATAATCAATTTCACCCTGTGTTATACACCTTATTTTTTCCTTGTATTTATTTTCATTTGAAAACTGTATTTAACGAAGCTGCTAACCGTTTCCTGTCTTTACATATTCCTTGGATTTATTTCTTGCTATCTTTCGTGAATACTTTCCATATTATGATTGATATGTTAAGCATCAGTTTTTCAAAAAAGGGGATAATAAATTTGTCATTATTTTTTATAGGATGTTCTCGATCGTATTGTCGACAAAGTCAGCAGTATTCCAGAAGAAGTTGGACGTGATGCTAAAGCTGTCGCTGCACTTCAACGCAAACACAATACATTTGAATGTGAACTGGCACGTCTTGGATCACGAGTAAGTGGACCTGTTTTTGTGCTTGTTATTTCTCCATTCTTCACAAGAGTGATGCATTTCATTACGTAAATACACCGATAGAGATGTGGTTATGATTACGAGATCTTCAAATGAGCATTTCCCACGAGTTAGTCGACTAATTTCTCTGTAGGTCTAACACTATTTCTTTTTCTTATAGATAATTGTTTGGTTATCTTTCACAGTAAATATCACATCAGTACAATGACTAACAAGTATCAATTATGTTCTTTACTATTTTCGTAATACTATGAGTAGATGTGTCGAGAAATACAATATTCTTGAAATTAACCTTTAAATCGTAGTTGTTGTGATGCGATTTTTGTTGTTATTAGTAATTTGATTGGACGATCATGAACACCGGTACATGAACATTAAATAGTTAAGTAAAAATAACAAATTATTTTCTTTGGAACTTCACAATTATTCTCTAACACTGCTGGTCATATATGAATGAGGCCCTATCATAAAATCACAAATCTAATTATTGTGGTCCTACAGCTTGTACTATTTACAAAGTTAATATCAAAATATTTCTAAACTGTAAAACAATCTTGTCTAAAAGTGACCCAATTATCACTAACAAAAGGAAATGATTTCCTGTCTGATCTACCTTCTAACATTTGAACTAAGTTCTATTTTCACTATTTATAACAATTAATTGACTATGACCCAATATCATGAGGTTCAACTTTAAAATTTTCTCAGACATCATAATGATCAAGTTTTAAATAGCTTTTACAATTACTGTATTTATGTTGACGGTTTCGCATTCTAATATGAATATCACTGTCGTAGCTGAAACACAACTTGTGTGTAATACAGAAATGTCTTCATTCAATATTTAATAATATCATCCTTTATATTCTCCTATAGGTGGAAGGGATCGTAGAAGCGGCTAATAGCTTACTACCGTCTTACGCCGCAGATAAAGAGCGTCTTATATGTGACCGCCGGGACGAAGTTATTCATGCATGGCGACAACTACAATGTGCTGCGGAACAACGTAAAGCACGCTTACATGATGCTTCTGATGTCCATCGTTTCTTCTCTATGGTACGTGAACTTCGTTTGTGGATGGATACTATTCGTATGGAGATGACTACTAAAGAAAAGCCAAGGTTAGTTGTAAATTTCCTATCGTCTAACGTATTTTATTCGTCACTGATCATACTTTTGTATATCATACAGCTTTAACTTTCAGTAATTTCGTAATTAACACTGCTGATTAGGTTCTTCAATAATTAATCGACAATTCTTGCGTATCAGTCAGGTTTTCGTTTTATACTAATCACTATCTGCCTCGTTAGTGTAGGATAAGGAAAACTTATCTGTTTACTTCTTATTGTATCGACACACAAATAAATTCTTTTCTAGTCACAAACAGGCTAGAGGATAGTAGAAGCGTTCATAGTTTATTAGTAGTTTTAGCACGTTAAAAGTCAATGAATAACCTTCTCAGTAGTTTGGCTAGTCAAAATGTATAACTAATATCGTTTGTGTATTTGTTGTAAATGAGTCGTTTAGTTGATTCGAGGAAAAAACAACTGTTGAAATGATCCAATTGATGCTTGTTTCAGCTGGTTCATAGAATTATTCCGGTATGACAGTATATTTTTAACTGTGAACTAAAAGTGGAATGTACTCTTCCTTAATGCAATAGCCGGTTATTTCCTAGATAAAGTATTTGTACAATTGTTTGATTGTTTTATCAGTTTTTTAATGGTGTGCTATATTGTTGTATATATGTGTGTTACATATTCTAGGGATGTATCCGGAGTTGAATTGCTGATGAATAGTCATCGTAGCCTAATGGCTGAAATAGATGCTCGAGAGGAAAACTTCAGCATTTGCCTAAGTTTAGGTCGAACTCTTCTAAATCGTCGACATCCTCAAGAAGAAGAAGTCAGAAAAAAATGCATTCAGGTGATTTACTATAAATATTTAACGATCTTATATACTTTTTCTCGATGCTGTATATTTGTATTTATATTTTATATGACTTTTGTTTGTGTTTGTTTTAGCTGGTAACTGAAAAAATTTTGCTGAATGACCAATGGGCAGAGCGATGGGAAACGTTAAGTCTTCTTATGGAGGTATATGAGTTTGCTCGGGACGCTGAGATAGCAGATACTTGGCTTACGTCACAAGAAGCTTATCTTAATAACACTGATTTGGGTGAAACGTTAGATGAAACCTTAGCATTGTTGAAAAAACATTTTGCATTTGAACGTGCAGCCGCTACACAAGAAGAACGTTTCCGAGAGTTAGAGAAACTTACAACTGTAAGTTCTAGTTATCATTCCCTTCAATAAATGTGTGTTTACGACATTTTAATCGTTATGCTCCCTTCAATTTTGATATTTGTCACTGGAAGGGTTATAAATTTAGTAAATACTGTTTCGGTTAAGTTACTAAGGGATTATCACCTTTCTCTTATCAAAATTTTTCCAGTTAATATCAATGTGATTTTTTCAATTTTTTTTGTTTTCAGCTTGAATTGAAAGCACGTGAAAGAACTCCAGAAACCGAGGCTGCCAGGCAATTGGAAAAAGAAAGGAAAATAGCTGAAGCTGTTAGAGAATTTCAGCCACCTCCACCTCCTGTGTCCGTACCTGTACAAACGCCGGTTTCAGAGGCTGATAGGCGGGCTGTGGATATCAGAGATGCTGAACAAGGTAGTACTCGTCTTCCAACGGTAACCACCCCAAGACATGAACGTGGAAGTTCTGATGTTGGTAAACCTGTTCCTCGTGACTTTGAAGGTGTTTTAACACGTAAACATGAATGGGAAACAGGCACAAAGAAAGCTTCTTCTCGCTCTTGGCATGAGTTGTATTTTGTCCTCTCTGCAACGTCTTTCACACTTTCTGCCTATAAAGAGCAAAAACATGCCAAAGAAAGACCTGGGGATTTATATCGGCATGAACTCCCTGTTAATTTAGTGGGCGCTTCCGCTGCGCCTGCGTACAACTACGCCAAACGCTCTTTTGTATTCCGTCTCAAACTTTCGAACGGAGGTGAATCTCTATTTCAAGCACATTCTGAAAAACATATGCATAGCTGGGTTCAAGCTATTAATGCAGTGGCATCAAGTGCAAGTGGGCAACCAATGGAGTCTTCTTCATCTGCTGGGGGACGAGCTGCCACGTTACCTTCTGGAGTTGCTCCTGAGTCTCAAGTAGCTAGTAGCTCTTCTGCTCCCGGGAAGAAAAAGTTTTTCACTTTAGGTCGTAAAAAGTAGTTGATCTTTTATTGAATGTGCTTGTGATACTTTTGTTGAGGTAGTAAAAATAACTTGTGACTATCCCTTGTCACTCACTCACTATTGTAGCTTCTTAATATAGGCTCACAAAGTGCACAAGCAATTAACTTGTCCGTGTTTTCTTTTCGCTTTAAATAAACGCGCGCGCGCATTTTCGTATGATTTTTAAACATCCGCCTCGTTTTTTAAGTCTCTTGGTTTCGGAAGTTTTTTTTTATAAATATGTAAGCGCGTTTATTTTACCTCCGGTTCGAAGGCCAACACATACATACACATATAACTTCTTTAATTAATCACCACGTTGTTGCTGATACTGTTGCTTTTTAAAAAAAAATCGGAAGCATAAATTATTCTTGAGATATTTTAATAATAATCCTCAGTTTTAGGATGTTATTATTGTTATTATCGCTATAGTTATTCTATTTTATTTTTTGTAAAGTTATTCAAATAATCACTAAGTTAGTTTATTCATGTATTTGTTCGTTTCTCTGTTTGTTTGTTTCTGATTCATTTTTATTCCATCACTTCAAGCTTACAACATTATACATACATACGATGATACATTTACATTGATTACGAAAAACAAAGTAATGATAATAAGCAGCCAACTTGTTAATTTCCCAATAAATAACAATACATGTGCATTTTCGCTTTTTTCTGTTGTTATATTTCACCCTTTTCTAATAATGAACTGCTTTAAAGAAATTATGATTTCGGTTAGTTTGGTTTTAATTTTTTTTTTGTGTATTTGTTCGCTTGTTCGTCTAAAAGTAACAACTATTGATCAAATTATGAATTAGTACTACTCATCGTAATAATCAATTAAGTCACTAATAGTCTACATGTTTCCAAGTGGTCTTTTTCTCTTTATTCCTCTTCACTGCTTTTTGGGGACTTGGAAAAAAGATTGATGGTAGCCTTTCATTATCGTTTATAATAATTAACTCTCTGCATGTTAACAATATATTGATATATATATAAAATACTGTCGACTCTACCAATAATTAAGAAAATAACAAGTATGAAAGCTCGTTCCTATATAATAATGATAATAATAATAATAATAAAAGCGATGATAACCATTTTCATACTTTCTCTTAGATCCGTTTCTTCTCGTTATTTGTCATTGTTTTATCAACTATACAACTAACTAATTAAGACTTATTCACAAAAAATAAATGCGAATAGTAATTTTCTGATTGTTATATCTGACTTATCTTTGTCAATGTGAACAGATTTACCTTTTTTTACTGAATTTTTTCTGAGTTAACTTACAAGAAGATTTAGTCTAATTAATAAAAAAGAGCAGATTTATATCGTTTGTGTTCACATGGCAATAAGTTGATTTACAAATGTCCCTAGTTATCAGTATAGTTTTCGTTAAATATGGTTGAAAGTCAAGTTATATATGATTGTTGTCCTAAAACCCTCTAGTAATTGACATCAATATCCTAGCTACTTGCTAATTTTCTAAAATGTTTCTAGATTCGAGCTTCTAACTAGAGAAAAGTCTCGAAGTAAGAGTAGGAGCTTCACTTCACGGTCCGTTTATTTATGTTTTCATCGATAACTGTTAAACTCTGAAAGCATCCTAAATTAAGTAACCGAACCAGTGGTCATCCAGTCAGAATTTGACACATAGTTCATCAATTTTCAAAAAGTCTTCATGGAACATGGTGATTGGAAGAAATGCTTTCAGTTTTTTTCCGGTGTTGGGGCATCTTATTGAAGAATTGTCGTAGGATCCCAACAGTAGTTTCTTGATTCATCTAGTGGAATATATAGTATTGTTTAGCTATTATTTGCAATTTCTCCAAACCATAAGCATAATACAAACACCATAGTATAATCAGTATGTTGAGAGTTGAGTTATTTTATTTTATTTGAACACGTAAATATTTGTACAAAGAGGCGCCGAATATATATGCGCTACACAAGTCAATTGTTTTGTGTGCGGGCTATGCCCGGGTGCCCATACCGAAGCAGGTGGTTCTCTTAGGGGGCCACGACCTGAATGTCTGATCCACAAAGCAGCGGAGCAACGTAAGGAGATGCGGTTCCATGACAGCCGGTGACCAACAGTTCATATTCCATTTGTTCCTTTAGGATACTGGAGCCCATGTGCACCATTGGTTTGGAATCAGAGTTTTCCAACTCCCCTAGATGGACACTCCGTCTCCACTAACCCGGTTAAAGCGCCGGGCATTCACTTTTCGTCTTCTGAATTTCGTAGACAACAGTAATGTCGCGAGAAGGTAGTGAGTAGGTTTCCCTGTCAGTGGATGTGTATGCGTCGCCATGTGAGATTATTTCGACAGAGAAAGCTGACTCTTCGCACACTCGACCGTACCAGGGCATTCCACTCAACTTTAAGTTGAGTGAAATCAAAGTTCATTGATCACGGGCTTTCAAGGTGTTGATTCTCTTGGTTAATATCTTGTTGGACTTTAAAAACAACAAAACATCTCGCTTTAAAATCCCAAACGCTAACGGCGCAGTTGTCCAGTTATTTTAAAGTTAAAATGTAGACTTGGTAATCTTGTGTCAAGAATTTCTCCATGTAGCTTCTATGAATGGAACACTTAATTTAATATTTACAAATCCTCAACCTATGGCTAGGCTGACTTTTTTTTATCATCATCATTATTATTGTTTAGGGATTATGGTGTCATAGTCGTTAAATATATTCAGTGTGTTCAATCATTTTGCTTAAATCCTATCATACAAAATCTTGGGTGCAGTCAGTCAGCTAAAATGTAGGACATATATCCATTGGTCCAAGTTTCCGCGTTTCATTAACACAACAAGATGAAGTTCAGTAAATGTAACTGCAGCAAATACTTGCATGGACAGCATGATGCGTTTGATTTCCTTCACATATTATGCACAATGAATATCGTACGGAAATTCCTTTTTTAATGTAGTGCAAAAGTAGACACCAAATACGTTTGTATCCCACTACAATTTATCACGTCATTGATTCCCTAATATGTTTCTTCCTATTACTCTTCAATGGTTGAAAGTAATCAAATGATGAAATCTAATGCTTCTTGAACTATATAAACAAAATTAACAACTCATACAATCAAATGTCCAATATTACTTAGTTTTAAATTGTACTAAACTGATTTTTCTCTCCAATTGTATTGGTTGTTTGCTTATAACTATCCGTCCAAGGGTAATATTACCATATATCTATTCATGAATTTCTCTCTATTTAAAAACAATACAAATAAACTTAAGTTGATTGACTAATTGCTTGGTTGTGTTACATCAGTATTTTCCCAAAATTACGTGGATAAAAGGCAATCAATGGTTAATGAATTTAGTTTCGATTTGATCTTCACACTCTCATTCGTTTTCAACTAGAATTGACCTCTGTTATTTGTGATATCCAGATTGGCTTCACACCCCCTACGATTGTCCACTTGTTGTAAGGGCACTAATTAGCAAAAGGACACTGAATTCACTCCTTTATCGATCAATTGCAACTCAAATGAAGCCATGCTGTTACTATGTTTGCCAGTTGGAACTGAATTAAGACTCAAAACATTGGGACGTTCATACCGGTTGGCTGTGATGCCTAAAACTGTCTGGGGAGTCTGTAAAATCGAAGTTAAGGAACGGCTAGGTTGCTATATTGAAAATTCCATATTAAATATGTTTTCCAATCACAATTAAAGTAAGTATCTTCTTTCACTTAGTCCAAATTATAGTTCCAGCGTTTTATACTGCTTAGAAAATATAAGGACATCAAAGCTGATTGCCAACACAATGTAACTATTATTGTAACTTACTGATAATTACGAAAATACCATAGTGTTTTTATTAATAAAGTTTTCATATAAAATTTACTATCCATTCAATTTGATCTTAGTACCTCAGATGTGGTATTTCCCTAGAGTAATACAGGGTTCAAGTTTTGTAGGTTGTTAATAAGTGAATTAACTTGCTACTCTCTCTAATCTGATCTGGCATTGCGAAGTCTGCTGTCAGTATGCCACTTACACTCTAATCAATGGCCCCTGACTTTGACTTAAAAACCTGCTGTATCCATTAATGCTTGCCAGTGCTAATATATACCAGTATAAATTGTAAAATAATTTAAAAGCAGACCACATACAAGGTGAGAGTTTGAAACACCCTCCGTCTTTCCATAAACTTATGTCACTACCTAAATATCTATTTACATTAGTTTTTATGGTTAGAAAAGTTTTATTAGGCGAAACATGAACTTGTTCGAAATATGGTGGGAGGGTTTTTGCATAATTTTCAAATGTCTGTTAATTTACGTAATATGTACTACCTAGTTTATTTTGTAAGTCGTTGATTACTGCTTTGATATATATATATACATGCATCGAGTGTTAAATAACCAATATCATTTTTATATGGTTTAACTAAAACCAAACGATATTATGTAACAGTTAATTTTTAAGATTAAATTGAGATCATGTACCACTATTGAAAATCTGGAAGCACTGGGCAGCCGTTTCATTCTAGTGTGGTCTCAGTTGAAACTCAACAATCTCCATAACCCTGTATTGATAATTATCATGTGCTCACTAGTGATTAGCTTCTAGGGGTAATTCTCCGAGTTCTAATGAGAAGCCGTGTCCAGTGGTGAGGCTTTTACCCACTGAAGACGATGGGAGATGGTCACTTAATATCATTTATTGGTTGAATTTAGACATCAACACCTTTGGATCTCGGCTCAGTAGTCTAGAGTTTAAGCATTCGCATGAAATTGAGTGTGGGATCATGGATGAGCGCTGCTGAGGAGCACCATACTAGGCTCAGTGTTTACAAAAGTGATGATAATCAAAGTTAACTAGATGTCAACTGTAGAAAGTTATTGGCTATGATGATTGTAGTTCAGAGAGAGGTCTAGGCACCATAATGAGTCATGTGTTTTTGAATCCCTTTTTATATCCAACGAGATTAAGTAAGTAGGATAGTATCAATAAATGCGGTGCAATGTTGTGATTTATACTGTGGTATGAATTGGATTTTGTTGATTTACTCTAACCGAATCTTATAACTTAATATCAAGTATCGTTTTTACATAACTTAACGATATTTATCATTTTCGATACTAGCATCAAAGACTGAAATCACCAAGAGAACCTTTCAAAACTGCTGGAGAGTACTTATATCCCTGTTTGGGACTCTTCATTAATGCACATCTACAACTCTAAACAGAATTTAGCACAGAACATTAAGGTCTCGTAGAGAGTAAATCTTTCACATAAATTAAGATTGGTAACATTTATAACTTTACCAATTTCTTTTTTTACTCCTCCTTTTTTAACAATCACAAATCTCATGCATATCATTATTTTCAGAAAATGTAATGATTATTTCTATGTTAAAGCAGAATTATCATTTAGTATTCAAGATATAACCGTTCATTAATTATCTACCCAGTTTTCTTTTTTTAAAAAAAATTTAGATTCACACAGTTTTGTATCACTTCAATTTGTCATTTTTAGCGGCATGCTTATTTTGTGAAATAGTAAATTTCGTATAACCCTATCATCATCATCATCATCATATGATTTGCGTGATGTTTTATAATTTCACATTGCCCAAGTTATGTAGTGATCCTTAAAGATTTATGAATAAAGATACTAGAGATCATTTTCTAAAAGAACGTTTCAGTTGTTAAATGTTATATGGTAGTCAGTAATGTAAGGTCATTGTAAGTTAGAGGTAACTGAACGACAAGATGATAATTTACAGGGATTCAATACTTGTTTTTCAAATCATGTTGTAATGAAACAATTCACCAAGTGAATTAATCATTTTATTATTAGAAACATTCTAATTGTTTTCAATATTATCTGTAATTAATACAGTTTTTGGACGGCCGTTTCGTCCTGGTATGGGACTCCTCAGCAGTGCGCATCCACGATCCCGCACCACGCGGGGCTCGAACCCAGGACCTACTGGCTTCGCGCGCGAGCACTTAACCATTAGACCACTGAGCCGGCATCCAACGGTGTTAATGTCTAACTTCAACCAATCCACGAAGTTGCGCTACCGTACACCATTGTCTTCAGTGAGT